ATAAATACATTATTATATGGTATGTACAACTCAACACGTAAATCATGTGGGCGGGCGGAGGGGACATTATTAGAGTATATATCGTCATATTATTTGCTTTTAATAGGATAATTAATCGATCACAGATAATTTGATCAAATTCTTAATAGAATAATAAATTTAATTTATAAAATATATTATTTTATTTTTTTATTAAAATATTTAAATTTCATCAACATTGTCTTAATCTTTACATATATAAATACATTATTATATGGTATGTACAACTCAACACGTAAATCATGTGGGCGGGCGGAGGGGACATTATTAGAGTATATATCGTCATATTATTTCGCTGTCACTTTTGAGACTACTAACTGATTTCTAATTCATTTTTGTCTAACATGGGTACTGTAAATGGTAAAGGTCGTCAGTATTAATTGCTTTATCTTATCAACAGGAATTAGTAGTTATGGTGGTGAACATGCATCCCATCCATTAGTGTTGAATCACGAATTAAACCTGTAGCCTATTTTGTTAACATAAATAATTTAGTGGTGAGTTTTTTAAAAAGAATTATCTTAAATTTAAATTACATAATATATAAATAAAGTAAATTAAAAAATAAAAAAATTATTTTTATTATATAATTTAAAATTAAAAAATATATAACATATTTAAAAAAATTAAATTTAATTAAATTTTAACTTTTACCTAAAGAAACAAGCCTAGAAACTATACAAACAAACACTAATAAGTTTACCAACGAAAGGGTTGGATCAAGTGGTAAGCGGTTTGTTCCAGTTTAAGTAAGATCTTAAGTTTGAGACCTTGTGTACGCAGCAGCACTCGCTGAGAGACTCATCTATTATTTCCAAGTGCACGATGCGGGTCAGATCTGGATTGATCGGAGCAAAATCCCGAATATCAGGTGAGAAACCAAAAAAACAAAAAAAAAACACTAATAAGTTTTTTAATCCAATAGGGATAAGACGATGGTGTTCCAACATTTTCCATCGTGATTCACGGGGTTCCTAGGAATATACGTTAAATCTAAATGGAGATTCAGTTTTCATTTACGGACAACAATGGCTTAGAAGATCGTGTTGGGATTAAAATATCCATTTGTTATTCTTTATCATATTTAGAGATAATTTTATCAACATATTAATCAACAATGATACACGCACAATCTAATCGATGCATCGGGAGAAAGCTCGAGCTCATTAATTAAAACCATAAAAAAAAACTCGAGTTCATTTAAAGGTTTCATAAAAAATGTGATAATTAATACAAAGTGTTTTGTATATGGTAGTTTTAAATTTTTTTTTGAAGGACTTAGTTAAAAAATGTATATTTTAATTAATAATTTTTTAAGATTAATTTAATAGGACTAATTAATTTATTAATTAT